TAGCCTCGGACAACGAGTTCAATCATCATTACAGTGATCGAGACATCGAAAGAGAAACTGATAGATATAACAAGAGAAACCCTGGACGAAATATAGACAGACACAGGCAGACTGATCAGGATACAAATACAGTTGGAAATACAGATGAAGATAGAGAAACTGAGCTAACTACAGATGAAAAAAGAGAGACAGATCAAAGCTCATATGGAGATAGAGACATAGATCGAGATACAGATGATGATGTAGACAGATAAAAGTTCAGACTCGGTTCGAAAAACTGATGAAGATAGAGACATAGATCGGAATACAGAGGAAAACAGCGACTCAGATCAAAATACTGATGAAGATAGAGACACAGATCAAAGTACAGATGAGGACAGAGAATTAGATCAAGGTACAGGCGAGGACATAGACTCAGGTAGAGGCATAAATCGAAGTACAGATGAAGACAGAGACTCGGATCAAGATACAGATGAAGATAGAGAAATAGATCTATGTAGAGATGAGGACAGAGACACAGGTACAGATAAAGATAGAGACATAGATCAAGATACAGATGAAGATAGAGACGTAGATCAAGGTACAGATGACGACAGAGACTCAGATCAAAACACGGACAAATATAAAGTTGCAGATCGAAATATAGACGAAGGTAGACACACTGATCGAAAACCTGATGAAGAAAGAGACTCAGAGCAAAAAACAAACGGAGATATAGACAAATATCGAAATGCGGATGAAAACGATGGCGACAAAGGTAGAGATTCAAACAGCGACAGCACACACGATCGAGCAAATAGGAATGGTGCAAGACAAGTAGATGAATTAGATTCAATGGAGTCAGGTAATGGAAACAGTGGGGAGGATTACTCTTTTCTTCCCGATTTAGTTCTAGATAGAATTATAAGGACAACTGTTCAAAGGTATCCTTTCATGGTATTTACATTGAGGCAAGTGTGCACTTTCTTCAGAAATACAGTAGAAGCAATAGGATACCCAATGATCCACTTGAATCCCGCTGTAATTAGTCATGTTCCTAGACGTATAAGTGTACGTAGATTGTACGTCAGATATGGCAGAGGAAGTGAATAAGTCATGTGTATAAGAAGTGTCTGTTCTGCTTCAAATAGACCATGGATTCATGCATGGCTTACACTTCGTGAGCTTAACCATGACTGGTACGAAATAACGGTAATTCATTGGCGCTGATTGCGTTCACTCGAAACACTGAAACTTACTTTTCGACTACATTCATGGGAATGTTTGCTTTGGATCTTAGTTTTGTTGCAAGGCAGCAACGTACAGTAGAGAAGTTTTATGTAGATTAACATTTGAAATACTCTATCTAGTGGAAATAATTTTCACACATGAACATTACATTAAATTTCGCTGACTCAGTTTTTTCCAAATAACACGCACTCGTACTGTTGAAAAGCAAAACATTTTTTTGTAATTATTTAGCTAGACTTTAGATGTCTTATTTAAACAGTGGAACACATCACCATGCTGGCTGCTCTGAAGAAAGCTGTGTCTGGACAAAAGACAAATCTCTTACATTCTTGAAAATGAAGTTAATAAATCTGCCCAAACAATGCGATGCCTGGATGAAAACTTTCAAAGTTACATAAAAAAATAAAATACCTTTTGTCGAGCATGTTTGATTAGATATTGCAAAATCCAATTACGGTATATATGTGTTATTTAAAATTCATAGATATAATATTATGATTGTATTGTAACTTTAATATGTTTGTGATAAACGTTATTTGTATGTTCTATACGATGACATAATTTTACTGTTTGTCTCCTTCCGAACAATTGATAAGATCATTTATATAACACAATCGGCGCTATATGACCTTTTTGGTCTCGGTGCGCTCTAAAATCCAACAAACAAAGACATAAGTTTTCGCTTTCCACCTCTCGTTTATATGGGGAAGAATGGCATATTACTGGTTAGGAATTCCAGGAACAGTGTTAGGATATCTGACCGCCTTTATGTAACTTAAATCCCATTGGAAAGGGCGTTAAATGCAACAAAGATAGAAATAGAATGAAGGAAGATGAAACATAAAACGAAGGAAGATGTTATTTAAACAGACCCATCCCGAATGTCGTCCAAGCTTTTAACATTAAATTAAATTAGGTCCTTTATCACATATCTTGAAAACATATCCGTAGCTGCTATTGTATCATATTCATATCAATGCTCAGCATGCAATACAAGATATCAGTTTGAAAAATGTACACATAACTTTACCACATTGAAATTGGATTAAACAATACAATACAATACGTGAGAGGTCGTTCACAAAAAAATGATAACCCCAGATATTGACCCGATAATCAACCCACGTGGTATATGTGAAAGAAAACTGCTACCGGTATTAAACACACAATATGCATTTGTCTTTCCAGAAAAGGGGCGGCGGGGTAGCCTAGTGGTTAAAGCGTTCGCTCGTCACGCCAAAGGCCCTGGTTCGATTCCCCACATGGGTGCAATGTGTGAAGCCAAGTTCTGGTGATATTGCTGGAATATTTTGCTAAAGCGGCGTAAAACTAACCTCACTCACTCACTCTTTCCAGAAACAGATGTTTGTCTTATCTTGTGACATTAAAGCATGTGAAACAAGCATGACGAAAGTTTTATTTATTGCTCTGTCTCAGTACTGAAGTGTCTGTGGAGACAGCACAATGTTTGGCTGTCCGAAAGGCAAAAATAGTACATCTTACACGAACACAGGCTATACTTCAAAGTCAATTTATGCTCCACGGATGATCAAAACGACTGCGTTTTAAATTGAAGCCATGGACAGATACAATTTGACAACAGACATCTCTTTAGCACAGTTTGATTCACTACGCTTTGACAATACTGTACAGTAGCTTTGTAATCTCCTTTTGAACGTAATTGCAATATATTTGCGAAAATGTAATTGAATTTCTGTTGTGTTCTCCTGCATTCTGATAAGCAGCTCTGTTCACGTGTTAATGCATTCATTTACACTTAACATAATTATCTAAGCCTTGCCCAACTACATTTTAACCTCATGGAATGTCATTGATTCCCTGTTACTCTGAGAGCATTCATACACTTTCAGGATCTTCAACGCCAACACCACCTCATGAAGCCGAAGTCCGATATGGGTGCAGGTTCTGTCGGCTCGCTCATCTGCATTTTTACCCTCTCGTCTTGCCTACACAAATTATATTTTTGACATGAATTTTCCAACTGTGCTTACTCGTTCTCAAGCAGACAATATAAATTCAAACGGCCGCCTTCTCTGGGCATGTTTTTCAAGTTATTTTTTCTTGTCCTGCGTTGGTTAATCAAGCTTATCAATTTTCAAATTCTTTGATATTTTTAATCGTGTAAACTAGATGCCATATGTTGCGGTTGTACAGTTTGATTATATGGAATGACTGGAAACTTTTGTTTCCGGTTCGTTGAGTATGAGTAAAAATCGATCTGCAAACTTTTGAAATAATCCTCAAAGCGGGTTTATACAGTTTGAACATAGGTATAGTACTCTCTCACAGGTTGCACGTTGGTTTTCCAATTCATACACTAAAGGTCCGAAAAAGCTATAGTCTATCCTTTATTGAAGAAATCAAACCTTTCGGAAATATTGTAACATGAGCAAAGGATACATTAAACCAGCTCCGATTTTTATCATGTTTACCGTTGTATGAGGACATAATTAATAAAATATTCACTTCTCGTATATTTTTTATTATTATAGGATATTTATATAGCGCACATATACACGCAACTAGTACAAGGCGCTGGTATTTTCCCCTCGATCACCTGATGTCAATCTCAACGGCACATCTTATTATCAATCTCAACTCCCCGGGGATCATACAACTCTTGCAGCCACTAGGCGCACCGAGTCATTGCGGCTTTCTCATCCTTACGATGTATCGTATACATGCAATATTAATGGTCTCACATTTTATGTCATCTCTGATATCTTTCATCTCTCTTTGGCATTGAAAGTAAAGGTGTCATAAACCTTAGAATGTGTTGAAAACTTTGAAACAGGGAAGACGCTGTATTAGCATATCAACGTACCCCTAATAACACCTATGTTATTCCATGACTGTTTCAAGTGGTAAACACCCGTACCACATAGAGATTTCCTCTTACACTAACTTGAAACGCCTGGATATCCCTTAAAATGCAATGTGTATTTATATGTACGTACAATGTTATGTATAGGACATTGTCAATACACACACGCACACACTTGAAGACGCATAAAATGCATGGGGGGTGGGGTTGGGGACTGGGGTTGATGTATTAAATATATGTATAGATACAAATCCGTGACGTGTCATGATCATTTACAGAAATATAATGCCTCACTGGGGAATCTAACGGGTTTAGGTAGTCTCTGACAGTGTTCTGATGTACTTTGCACAAATTCGCCAACCTGCAGTATGCCTAAAGAAATCTCAACCATAACCCACGCAGGAGACACAGACAGGTAGGTGGAGTCACTTCATAATAAGGCTACGATGGGGAAACAACCTTGTGTTAACAGTCCTTGTGTTTGGCTGTGTGAGGTCAGTCAACGCTATAGTTTACGTACGTCTTCTTGCCATGGACATCATGGGTTACTGAAGGTTTGTCTCCATTCTCTCACGAAACACTATGTTAAATACGTAGCATGAATATGTGAATTTGGAACATTCACCTCGTCTTATCACAAATACATGGAATATGGTGATACCACAATCTCATTTTAAGACCTGAACACATGTTTTGTCATGAAGAAGGGAGGCATTTGAAGCGAGGCTAAATTAGCATTACATTTGGAACTTTTGTCATTCAACTGTCTTAATGTTCAGGCAAGAAGAGGCCGAAGCATAGCATGTCAGGTGTGTTATATCAGACATGCGTATGTGACATTCTATGACTCAAGATTTTTTGACATTTGTGCAGTGTTTTATTTTTCTAAAGTAATAAAGAAATTAAAACACATATTTCAACGCCGACATGGCCCGCATCAAAAACGGGAACTATTGGTGAACTTCCTGACAATCCTTGACTTGTCTTCGGCATACTCCAAACAGATTAACCACCCCCTGGAACACAACAAAAGAAGGTGTTTAAAAGTGGAGTGTGGAGCACAAAAACGACACCAACAACAGCTGATGGTTGCACTGACTGAGTGACTGAGTTTAGTTTTACGCCGCTTTTAGCAATATTCCAGCAACATCACGGCGGGGGACACCAGAAATGGGCTTCACACATTGTACCCATGTGGGAATTCGAACCCGGGACTTCGGCGTGACGAGCCAACGCTTTAACCATTAGGCTACCCCACCGCCCCGCTGATGGTTACAAGTGGTCACGGGAACACATTAGCTACACCAGCATATGTGATGGTTACAAGTGGAGACTTGAACACATTAGCTACACCAACACAGCTGGTGTTTACCAAGGGAGTCTGGAACACATAAGCGACATCAACAAGAGTCGATGATTACAATGCGAGTCTCATAATGGTCATCTGGATTGCTTTACCTATCTCTCCAGTTGCAGTTACAAACAGATTTATACAATATCAGACACCGTTTAGAAATTCTTTGGAGACCTACATCTGTGCCAGTCACAGTGTCAGAGCCATGTAATATTCTCTTTCAAGTAACGTGACTGGTGAGACTCCAGGCGAGTTGTAAATGAACCTGAGGTGATAAGGAATATTCGACATCCTTTATCAATCAACATGGTCGATCAGAGATAATTGTGAAGGTTTGTTAAGAACAAACTGAGTAAGTCACAGTGACAAATAACATTCCTCCAGTACAAGACGTTCAAATGGCGTCATTACCTACGAGTAGTTAATGTGACGATTAGGTCTTTGGCATCACTGATGAGTAGACTGATAGGTTACATATGATATAAAGATGATTTAAATTAATTCTGAAGTAAATTCATATTTTGGTAAAGAATACAGTCAGTCCAGCCTTTTTGAGCATATCTTTCTATCTTTTGGTTATTGGCATGAAATCAAACTCCTTCTGTGTTTGAAAAAACGGAGTTTTGGTATTTTTTTATTTGTCTTTGGAAATTCCTACCCGTCAGTGTATACGTCATTGTATATAAGTACAAATGTAATAATATAATGACTTTCGACTTAAATAATAAGGTAGAGAAACAAAAAACCTTTGAGTTCCGAATAGATGTAACTTGTCACCGCCAGAGAATCATTCTCGATTACTTGCCAAAACAGTTTTCCTTGGGAGTCAAAGGTATAAGATCGGTGAAATAGCAAAGGGAGAGACCTATCATGTACGATGCATCCATATACAATAAAATAAGTACTTGATACAATCTGGGCATGTTATACATTGTCAACGACATGTATCCGAATGTGTCAACAGGCGAGTTCGTTCGCATTTAAAGAGGACAGTATGGTGACTGTAGACTGTATAAACGAGAAAGGAGCGACACTGTATCTAATCTACACTGATGGCAAAGTGCAATGTCAGCCTTTGAGACAGGCGCAATCCGTTCTCCAGCGCTGTCATACTTTAGCTAACTAACAGGTATTAGTTTCTAATGTCGCAGAAATTATGGCACTGGTAACATCCGTATTACTTGAATCATTACATCAACAGGTATCACTTAATAATAATAAATAATGAGGGTACTTATACTGCGCAATACTCCACACCACAAAGGGGCATGCTCGAAGCGCGCACAACACGCACAGCATTATTACCCTGGATAACCCAAGCTGCGTGTTGGGCGCTAGAAGGTTGTAGTCATATGACTTTATCCCACCGGGTACCCATTTTCTGCTGTGTGAGGCAATTTTTGAACAAACTGACTTGCCCAAGGTGAGACCACATGTATATCACATGTGCTTCGTTGTGGGGCAGGACGGAATTCCTAGAAACTCTCAGGAGTCAATCTGCCAAACACGTTCACCCATCCAAGGACTCTCAGAGGTCAACGTTGCTTAACTTCAACTGATTTGTGACCTGAGCTCTATGCGCAGAACCACGCGTGTTCCTTTTATCCTTGATTGTCAACCAAAAGCTGACATCATTGTCTCAGATCTTGTCATATACTCGTGCAGTGGTTTGCTCAAATTCAAACTCAGCTGAAAAGAAATGAAGTCGAAGATCAAGTGCAGCAAAGATTGCTGTCTGGTGGTTTTTGTAAGTTGTTTATAATTACTTAACAGGATATCAGTTCCCGTGTGTCCCTACCTTTTAATACACTTCAGGGCATGTCCGTACCCTATGCACTTCATGCTCAGCAGATTAAAGTATATTCCGCCTACGTCGTCAGCAGCATCGTCCGGAGACGCCTTCAGACACTGGAAGAACTCCTTGTCGCAGGCACAGTCAAACCTTAAACGACAAGACACACTGTAAGTATTTTAATTGTGTAAGTGACCTTTGTAATTTGCCAAAAGAGTTGATATCAGTATTTTCTATATTAGTTTTTTCTTCCATGTTTCTCCTATATCAAGATGGTAAAGATGGTGCTCAGGGATGAGACCTATCGTTCCCTTTTTGCAGCCTCTAAAGTAATAATAATCTGTCCATGGGCGTTTATATTTGTCTCTATAGTCTAACATTCTTGTTTGATATGAATAATGAAAACGTTTCGGGAAATTAACACATGCCATGTTGAACTCAGCTTTCCCTTGAAACATAGCCCTGATAACTGAAATTGGTTCCAAAGACGTTCCAAAATACTCTGCTCTGCTCTGCTCTGCTCTGCTCTGCTTACTCTAACTGTACCTGGTATACAGGGCGAAGTTGAAGAGGCCATACTTCGACGTGAAGGGGAGTATGTAGTCTGGGCAGTGGTCGTGCTGACGGCAGCAGGCGTCGGTGTAGTTGTGAACACCCAGCTCGGTGGAATGACTGGAGATGTTGCCAACGCCGCACCACTTGGTTCCTGGTGAAGAGAGACGTGGACATTTGAAATAAATTGATTACTTGACCGTCACATGATAAACAAAACATGCGAGCTACAAAACATACAGTCATGTCATCGGTCAGTGTTGCACTCAGAGATTCGTCAGTTACCTGGCATACACATAAAATATTGACTAACGATATGGCTGAAATATTGCCGATGTGGCTGTAAATCTTAGCTCACTCACTCATAAAATATTGCCCTCTTATGGTTTTTATTTATTTATATCATAACATGAATGAACTAATATAATGAGTAGTTCGAGGCATGATTTCGAGTTTGAGCGCTGAATCCATCTCTTCTGTCTCCCATTGTGTGTCTGAATTAAAAAGTAGCTCTACCAAAATGTCTTTTCGGTAGTGAGCTGTGGAACTCTCTCAGCCAAACTGAGATTCTTATGATTAAATGTGCCTACAGGCATATCATACAGACGACCCAAGGCCATCCAAAGAGAACTAAGACTGATGTGTGTCTCGGTCTCCTGGGGCTTCAACCTCTGAATGCAGCGATAGATAAAACGAAGCTGTTGTTTGCCGGACTCCAATAAACATGAACACATCCTACCTTACTCAGCAGGTGTTTTACAAGGCTAGTGTCCTTTGTTTATGGTGTGTTTGCACAACCGAGAGGTTTCATTCCTGATTTGATTACACTCCTTATCAGTTGACAAATGTGCTCGACAACTACTTGTCAACTACTTGGCATATTTCCACATAAGGCTTCGTGGAAACAACGTGTGAAAGCCACTGGAAGGTTCCATTCCTCCTCTTGGACTGATAGAGTAACAGTTAATCCAGTTCTCCAGAGATCTGTGTGTTCATTCAGCATGGACTTTGCCTCAGGAAGACCACCTGTATTGAACCTTGTCCAAGTTCCAGGTGTAGGTATTTTCCAGCATCATAGGCATAATTGACCCCAAAGTGCAGCAAAAATGCACCGTTGAATGTCTGGTTTATTCGATGTCGCCCAATGGTGACACTCTTGGCATCCAAGGACATGGTGACCTAACCTTTCAAGCCTTTATCTACTTTGGTGGTTGTGCTGGTGGTGGCGCTATGCGCGTTTGGACTTGGGTTGTCCTGGTGACTACAACGTTCATCCATAGACACAAATCGTTGCTTGAACCTTTGTCTGCCAGTGCCGAAGTAAATTCATCACGTTATATCAGGATGCGTTTCCCATCATATGTCAGAAGCTCGGAACCAAACGAGCTGACACTTTCCTTCTTTCCTTCTTGTCTTGTCCCACTTCTCAACCTCATAACAGTAACATAGGAAGGGGCTTACTTCCCTCGTTTTGGCCTCATATCTTCACGGATGACTTTTGGTATGAAGCCCATTTCCTGGATAATTGTGCATTACTGTTCGTTTTTGAAGCTCGACTATTTCCTTCAGTTCTAATGTTCAGATACCTGCCTACTTTACCGAGAAAGCATCTATAACATATAATGTCCGCGATAATATTTTTAACCATAATGCAATTTCGTGTGTGTGTGCGTGCGTGCGTGCGTGTGTGTGTGTGTGTGTGTGTGTGTGTGTGTGTGTGTGTGTGTGTGTGTGTGTGTGAGTAAGTGAGTGAGAGAGTTCTCATGAATCCTGGTATGACTTATACTGTTATCACATGTTATCTTACCTGGGAATATGGCATATCTCTTCCTTCTCAGGGGACTATCGTTCAGGGTCAGGTGAAACTCATGACATTTTTCAATATGCAGGTCAAGGTCACTTTTATTGATCTCCTCTATCTTTTCTGTTGAGACTTCTTTCAAAATATTTCCAACCACGTGCCTAGAATACAAATACATTGCATTTATTGAATGGAACCTCAGTGCAGCACTTATGCATCAAGATCTGCTTATCTTGTCTTCATATAGCGCGTGGATGGATGTGTATGATCGGGTGTGTATTGTTGAGTTGGGGGTATATGCCAGTGGTTCGGAGTATAATGTAAAACGGAAAATAAATATTATGGAAATAGCTTTGAAAGAAATGGAAAAAATCATGTTGACGCTGATCGTAAACCTGCTACATTAACCACACATACGTCACGTTGAATACTAGTCATTGTTTGGTTAAAGGTGCCTTTCAAGAATATTTCGGATACATCACAACATGCCTTTGATGTTGGATGTACAAACAAACATCGAAACTTAATCAAGGCAGCTCTTGGATGAGAACACGCAAATATATCACTCACTCACTGCACAGCCGGTGAATTACAGCAGGTTCAGACAACGCAGCCCCCAACACCAACCCACCGATATATCCATGTTTCACTGCAGCGTGGTAATATCAAAGAGCTGGCACTATAAACCCGGCACAAGCCCGCACCGGCGAACAGACCCATCTCACCCTTTATACGTTTGTAACTAAATGGCTTTATACCTGACAAGAATCTATCGTATTTTGGATGATAGCGTACTTCATTTATGTGAAAGAAACCGCCTTGTTTTTGAAAAGTGCTACCGGTATTAAACACACAATATGCATTTGTCTTTCCAGAAAGGGGCGGTGGGGTAGCCTAGTGGTTAAAGCGTTCGCTCGTCATGCCAAACGCCCTGGTTCGATTTTGCTATAGCGACGTAAAACTAACCTCACTCACTCACTCTTTTCTGAAACAGATGTTTGTCTTATCTTGTGACATTAAAGCATGTGAAACAAGCATGACGAAAGTTTTATTTATTGCTCTGTCTCAGTACTGAAGTGTCTGTGGAGACAGCACAATGTTTGGCTGTCCGAAAGGCAAAAATATTACATCTTACACGAACACAGGGTATACTTCAGAGTCACTTTATGCTCCACGGATGATATAAACGACTTTTAAATTGAAGCCATGGACAGATACAATTTGACAACAGACATCTCTTTAGCACAGTTTGATTCACCCGACTACGCTTTGACAATACTGTACAGTAGCTTTGTGGTTTTCTTTCTGATCTTATATTTTGGAACCTTTGATTTCTGGAGGAGTCATATTATTTACTTTTGAACGTTATTGCAATATATTTGCGAAAATGTAATTGAATTGCTGTTGTGTTCTCCTGCATTCTGATAAGCAGCTCTGTTCACGTGTTAATGCATTCATTTACACTTAACATAATTATCTAAGCCTTGCCCAACTACATTTTAACCTCATGGCATGTCATTGATTCCCTGTTACTCTGAGAGAATTTATACTCTTTCAGGATCTTCAAAACCAACACCACCCAATGAAGCCGAGTCCGATAAAGGAAAGGAACAACATGGGTGCAGGTTCTGTCGTCTCGCTCATCTGCATTTTTACTCTCTCGTCTTGCCCACACAATTTACATTTTTGACATGAATTTTCCAACTGTGCTTACTCGTTCTCAAGCAGACAATATAAATTCAAACGGCCGCCTTCTCTGGGCATGTTTTTCCAGTTATTTTTTCTTGTCCTGCGTTGGTTAATCAAGCTATCATTTTTCAAATTCTTTGATATTTTTAATCGTGTAAACTAGATGCCATATGTTGCCGTTGTACATTTTGATCATATGGTTTGACTGGAATCTTTTGTTTCCGGTTCGTTGAGTATGAGTTAAATCGATCTTCAAACTTTTGAAATAATCCTCAAAGCGGAATTATACAGTTTGAACATCGGTAACGTACTCTCTCACAGGTTGCACGTTGGTTTTCCAATTCATACACTAAAGGACCGAAAAAGCTTTGCACAAATTCGCCAACCCGCAGTATGCCTAAAGGAATCTCTACCATAACCCCACGCAGGAGACACACACAGGTAGGTGGAGTCGCTTCGTAATAAGGCTACAATGGGGAACAACCTTGTGTTAACAGTCCTTGTCTTTGGCTGTGTGAGGTCAGTCAACGCTATAGTTTACGTACGTCTTGTTGACACGGACTTCAACATTAATGTGATACCAGGCAATGCTGTGACTTCGGAATGTACACATATATAAAATATTGAGTGGAAGGAAGATGTCGTTGAACGCATGTTGTATTAATTGGTTTAATGACATTGAAATTGTCTCAGTATACGAGCGTGAAAGCTGTGAGTCACAGTGTGTACAATACACATTGCAGTAATAGTGTCTAGAGATGGTATACTGTATACGTATTGTTCAAGAGCACATAAGGTACGAATTTATGGCAAGACGACCTGTCAGAAAGGAATAACACAGAATAGTCACGGATTGAGACTTTGAGTGTTATCTCAATGAACACATGTAGACAAGAATACAGAATATATTTGATTACTTGTGTTGTGTTTATGGCTTAATTATTTACGTGAACAAAATCATCCAGGAACAATGTAATGCTTATGACGAGCAAAGCATATATATATTTGAATCATACGGATTCCTATTCACAAATGGAACAGAAATGAATTACTTAAGCTTCTATATGCTGAATTATAATAAACATAAATAAACATTCCAGGTTACAATATTATGATTTATGCATAACCATTTAAAAAAAAATTGGTATTAAGGTAGGACGAACCTACGAGGGACATAACTAACAATAACAATGAACATTTTGTTTCTTACCTGTCCCCAAAGACCGCGCAGTCAGCATAGCCTCTGTCTCCGTCAAACAAGGCCTCCACAAGCTGGTCTCTCCCCTGGGTTGTAAAATATTTGAAGACATCAATTGAGAAACATGGATTGATGAGACAGAGGAGAAACACGACATGCAGGTTACCTGCATTTTCCAACATCTTCATTATCATAGCTTGAGCCACATGTAACGCTGGGGCCAGGTGGAGTGATTGTTGGCAGTGGACATACGTCGTTGTAGTTATAGCAAACGCTGGCTAAATACGATTGGGCAAATAAAAATCTTTATTGCATAAGTGAAGGGGAGGGCGTTTCATATATGACAGAGGTAAATGCAAAGGTATTTTCAGTCGTTCACGTACAGGTAACATCTAACCATACAGCGGTTAGGTATTATTGTGTAACGACAAACAAGTGACGTGGTACGCCTACATTGTTGAGACATATAAGAAATTTAAGCTTTAATAGTGCAAGTATGAAGGAGAAAGATGAAATAATGCTTATTTTCTTTAACTGCAATCTTTGGGTTTATTTTGTGAATATTATTATTATTGTTTGTGTGTTTCTTGTTTAACTCCGCATTCAGCAATATACCAGCTAGATGAAGGCGGTCTGGAACTAATAGTGCAGTGGCTTGTGTAATTCCGTGGGAATTACATGTGAATTGTTGGAACCAATACTAAATGTAATCAATATTGTCTGTAGATTAAGAAAAAGACATGGCTCCATGTTTTCTGTTTGCTATAAGTGACATTTTGGGATGATTGAATATGAGTTCCAAAATTGCTTGCGACACCAATTCGGGACAAAAATATCTTCATACATTTATCACAACATAGTCATGTGGCATATCAAAAGGTAGCTTATGATGCATGATGTAGAAATAACTATATCATATGCTTCTAATTTCAGTAAATATGACACTATCGTATAAATTAACGAAATATTTTCTTTCCTTCATCGGACATCACCATTGTAAGCATTGGCCTATATTAATGGAAACAATTTACTCAATTAATTATTGTCCCATTTCATAATAATTATATACTACCATGAAGCACTTATGTAGTAATAATAGTACCCAGGAAAGGTTAATGTGACCATCACATAGTCATGCCTACCAGTACAGTCAGAATTGAAACACTGACACTCGTGTCTGGGTAATTAAATAACAAATAACATAAAACCAAATGTGAAGTCAATATAAACTGAATGTATGAGAACACGAGTGACAAATTATACTAATAGGAACGAACAAGGGAACACATAAAACTACAAGTGTTCCTCTATTTATTTCCAGAATTTCACTCACAGTGCAATACAGACCATGTGAAGAAACCTGGAAAAGAATAAAATTGTACTTTCATGTGTTGCTATATTCGTTTCCATGAGTATATATTATAGTGAACAGATAACTACAAATTACAAGTGGGGTATGCAAGTGCAATATATAATGGTGATATATAGTGATTCAATGGGTGACCTAGCCACTGTCAGGAATCACCTCCAAGCGAGAGGAATTTCTGCCTCAGTTGCAGACACAATTCTGACTTCGCAGAGGGATACGAAAAACGTTCAATATGAGGATAGATGAGGATGCCCCGCCAGAGCTGACGGTCTGTCATAAGGAAAGAGTCAGTATTAGACTGTCAGAGTCTTAACATCCTAAGATATAGACGGCGCCTTCCACGTAACGGTTTCTATCGAGCTCCCTGCTCTCCCTCAGCCTTCCTCGTCAGGAAACGTGTTCACGTCTTGGATGTCCGTAAGACTCTCAAGGTCTTTATCAAACGAACACAAGATATCCAAAAGATAATCAGTTGTTCTGCTGTTACGGCGGTGGGAAGGCTGTCTTCCGGCGACCATATCTCGGTGGCTTGTCTCTGCCATTTGCATGGGCTATATCCAAAAGGACATATCTCCCCCGGAGGGTTTGAAAGCTCATTCCGTTAGGGCAGTAACGACATTTAAGGCGTATGCTGCAGCCCTGCCCATTGAAGAGATCTGCTCTTTGGAGCCGACCGAGCATGTTCATAAGCACTTACTCGACAGACACTCTGGCCATCGTGCTCGGTTTGGTAAGTTCTCCGCACTGGGCAAAGTCGTAACTCTCTAGCCGATTGAGCTTTCAAGATGAGACTGTTCATTAAGTATATTTATTTTAACTTTCACAATGATTTAGCATTGTTAAGTAGCATGTATAATTTATGAATTCATTGAATCACTATCCTCATCGTCATCAGATTCATTACCATCGAGGACAATTTCATGTGAAACGTGAGACGGACATGGAAAGATGTGTTCGCCTCATTTCAGTGCATGCCAATTTGTTTTCCTACATGAACATGATGATGTGGCACATTTGCTGGTACTACAACCATATTTGACGTTAGAGAACACGCCTCCGCCTTGCACAACAATCTCCATTCACTATTACATTTTATTGTACTGCTGTGTACTTGTACTTTAATGTACTTTCACCAAACCGGACGGAGATAACCCTTGTGTCATGGCCAACATAACCACCAAGTTTCATCCAAATCCATTCATAACTTTTTGAGATATTATTCCTATTCCCCATTTACTAAATAGTGTGTACTAAATATTATTTTCAAAGTACCTTTGCATACTTGTACTTTAACATACTTTCTTCAACATCTAATTGAGTTACCATAGGGACACACCAAAAACATCCAGTAAGTTTCATTTAAGTTCATCAAGTAGTTTTTAAGTAGAGGTGCTAAAACATTACACACACACACGCACACACACACACACACACACACACACACACACACACACACACACACACACACACACCAAGAAACAAGCATGCATTCGGAAAATCATGAAACCAAAGAGAATGAAGTGATTTATAGAAACTACCTCCACGCCAACAGCCACACCCACGACATTATGTGCATGAAAGTGAGTGAGTGAATTTAGTTTTACGCCGCTTTTAGCAATATTCCAGCAATATCACGACGGGGAACACATCGTACCTATGTGGGGAAACGAACCCCAGTCTTCAGCGTGACGAGCGAACGCTTTACACCAGGATATCCCACCGTTCACTTGCCTGAAAGAAAACCTCTGTTCGGACTCACCCTCAACTGGTGGTCATGGCATTTAGAAAACGTAATGGCTCCGAAAGTATGAGGTTTAAAGTACGAGCAAATTTCTGACTACTGCCTCAGCCTACACATCTTCGTCACATAGGGTTCAGTAAGTGCGGCGAGGGACTACCCGGCCTGACGCCAAGACAGAAAGGGCATGTTTATTATTATTATTATTATTATTATTATTATTATTGGATATTTATATAGCGCACATATCCACGCACTAGTGCATGCTCAAGGCGCTGGCAGTTTTTCCCTCGATCATTGGATGTCAATCTCAACAGCACATCTTATTATCAATCTCAACTCCCTAGGGATCATACAACTCTTGCAGCCACTAGGCGCACCGAGTTATTGCGGCTTTCTCATCCTTACGAGGTACCCATTCACAGCTGGGTGGACTGGGACACATAGTCACAGTATTTTGTCAAAGTTTACTGCACGTTGCTATACCCGCAACTAGGTGTTTGAACGATGGGTGTTCATGGGTGAGTGAGTTAAGATTTCTAGTCATACTATGTGGCTGAAATACTACCGATGACTAAAACAAGTTATAAATTCATGACACATAAATCAAGAAAATAGAAACCTGTGGATAAACTACATTAAAAAACAACCACATATACGGATTTGCAACAGCATGTACATCTAAAACTATAGACGTTGCATCTATTGCGGTTTCAAGCTCAGATATTACACTATCATACTCAGTCAAGGATCTGGGAATACTCTTAGATCCCAGTCTGTCCATGGAAGCCCAGATAAATAACCTGTGCAGAACATGCTATTCTCATCTTAGAGTGATCGGCAGTATACGTCCTCTAATTACCACAGAATCTGCTCATTCCCTTGTCCGTGCTTTAATTCTCAGCAGTCTAGTATCATTATTGTAACAGTCTCTATATTGGCCTCCCTGACACCAAAATACAGCCGCCCGCATCGTCAGCCGTACTTCCAAACACAGTCACATTACCCCAGTTCTAAAGCAGCTCGACTGGTTACCCGTGAGAGCCAGGATTCAATTCAAGACACTCTGCCTCACATACAAGTCCCTTCACGGCCAGGCTCAACCCTACATTGGAGATGCGATCAACCCCTACAGTCCATCGCGCGAACTTCGCTCACAGCAGCAAAACCTTCTGACAGTGCCGAACTACAAACTTAAAACCTTTGGATACAGAACTTTCTCCTACACTTCCCCTGTCTTGTGGAACTCTATCCCATTTGACCTCAAACACTCTGAATCTCTGGACTCTTTTAAATCAAATCTCGAAACCTACCTCTTTGCTAAATATTATCCTCAATAGCCTTTATTGTTTATGTATTATGCACCTATTCATTGTAGTTTTCTTGCTTTGTATATATAATGTATTTATTTTTAGGTACTTATGTAGCGCAAGAGCATGCTTCTGAGCGTGGATATGTGCGCGTTATAAATATGCACTATTATTATTATTATTATTTAAAACTATAGACAATACAACATATAAACCATGATACAAACCGTCAACAACTGAAGGTAGATCGCCACACTTAGGACTACTGGGTCTTACGGTACGTTTGCTACCTGCATGGATCCTAGCTGGAGTTTCATCATCGATTCAGCCGCTGTCAACTGTGCTATTTATATTTTTACAAAACATATTCAACAACACTATTAAAAAAATCAATTTCTTTCAAATTCAAATTTCAAATTGATATTTGACCTGTATATGTGACTCAACATGCTGTAGCCAAGGCATTGCACAAACTGACTGAGCACATGACTACGTAATGTAGGCAGTATTACAGCTGTATCGCGTCGGACGGTAATGTCGGCGTAAGAGCCTATCAATCCAGTGATTGACAAATGAGCAAGATCAAACGTCTTCACGTTCGACGCACATTTGTTTCCTTTCGCCTAAGATGGTTGGTTTGTTGTTTAACGCCGCACTCGGCAATATTCCAGTTATATGCCGGCGGTCTGTAAATAATCAAGTCTGGACCAGACTATCCAGTGATCAGCATCACGAGCATCGATCTACGCTAGATTTTGCTGACAAGAAAAACAGATTTAGAGCTATCTCCCTTCCATTGATTTGCAT